GGAGGGATCTGAGGAGGAAGGAGCATGTTTTTATCAGCAATGGAAGAACTTCCCAATACACAGGGGTCTTGCTAAAGATAATTTAAGCATTAGTGAGTACTGGCGGTTTACACCTTAGCATTGTTTCCAACTGGGTATTAAAGACTAAAGGGTACAATGCTTGCTTTCTTCTTAATTTGACATATTTGGAAAGTATTCTTCATAACCACATGGATTCAAAATACATTTTTATGAAGACTTAAGCATTTGGTGTTTATTTCAGCTGGAGTGAGAGGCTTGGGAGACTTCATCAGAATTCCCTGGTTGTGGTGGATGCTGTACAAAATGGGGGGATGTGAAGTCAGTTAACAAAGAGAAGGATTTATCTTGATTTTATGATACAAGTTGCTGGCTTAAATAGTGCTTGTGCTTTTACCCTATGATTCCTTGTAATTCATAAAATATCTATTGTGAGTAGGGTTCAGCAGTTGAAGATAAAGGATTTCTGGTTTGTATGTAACCCTTTTACATACATGGCTCCTAAAATGACACTAGACCATTTTATATTTGGGACATCTGCATGGGGCTGGCAGGTACAAGCCAGGACATACCAGTAACCCAGTCTTTCCAGCAGTGGCCACTGGAAGCCAACAGGAATTCCCTAGGGCATCTAAGAAGGCACTAGATGTCTGGGTTTGGATGACTAAAATTTAAATGTTAATGTTTTAATACTTCTGTGACTTGGTATTTCAGATCAGCAAACTGCAAACAGCTTTTTTTTCAGCTGTCATGAAGAAAAATAGAATCCCTTTCCTGGAAAAACTTTTGCTTAAGTCTGCATTCTAAGAGTAAGGCAATATAGGTGGTTTGCCAATTTATTTTACCTAGCTTATTATTTTGCCAGTTTATATTACCTAGCTTACATAGAGTCAGCAAGATATTGGTTGTTTTACCAACCTTCCCCCCCTCCCCTCCTCCCCAAATGCTCCCCCTCCAAAACCAAAAAGAAAATCAGGAGGAGGATCCCAGTCCAACTCCTCTTAGCTTAATTTGGTGTCAATCAGTTGTTCGGAGGAAGAAGGCGTGAGTGAGTGCAAGGATTGATGTTCAGTCAGGGGGGGGAAAAAAAACCAACCCTGGAACATGTTCAGCATAGCTTAGAGAACAAGCTTATGTAGCTTATATAGCAACATAGCTGGAACATGCTTATGGCAAGCTGAGGATTTACACCAAAGCTGTAACTGTACATTGTCAAAATACAGGTGTTCTTTAGCTATATGTTAATGTCTTTAGTTATTTTAAATGAATTTGAAAATCAAAAGTGCTATCCAGTGCATGTAACTTAAGTGTCTAAATATTTATGTTCCTAGTAAAGCTGCTTCTTTAGATTTTACCTCTTATATGTTTAATGAAGGACATGATAGAAGGAGCCTAAGGGTGACTATCTCAGGTAGCCAATAGAGAAACACAGATGCTTTTAGGGTATGATAGAATCTCTTAGAATAGCTACTTTGGGATAGGATGAATCACAGCCCACAAATGCCTATTTCTCTTCAGTGACTATAAAGAGAGAGGGGGAGTAGAGTGACTCAGTGAGATGTGGTTGTTTATATTTGGTCAAATATATTTCAAGCTAAGTGCGTAAGGCTACAATCCAAAGGCACCTCAGCTCTCCATGGTACCTGGGATATGTGTCTCAAATGTTCAGCTAAAAGACTGGTTGGAGTGTGCTGCAGCTCTCCTCTGGCTGGTGCCTTCATCACCCTTCCCAACTGTAACCACCCTGTGAAGGAACAGTGCACGTGTACTCAGTTCTCATCCTGATGGGGAATTGGTGTCATCCCAAAATAAAGTCAGGATGCAGACTGAACCCATGTGTTTGGATCTCACAGTTTAGACATGGCTTAAATTCCTTGTGCAACCAATGGAAGGAGAGAGGGGATTTGGAAGGCCTCCAGAAGCCACCTCAATTTTGGTAAGATTGAATCCTGACATGTAACTTGAATATATGCTTGCTTCTGTGGTGTGTTTTCATTTCATACTTTTCTCAGCATATATGATGAAAATAGAATAGTCTGTTTTTATGTCTGTGCATAATCAATCTCCAATTTTCCTAGGTTAGAGAGATGTTGGGATGTCTGGGTGCTAGGAAGTTAAAACAATTGAAATCCTGGACTTAAAGTTCTTCTGATAAGTGTATTTTTAAAACCGAAATTAGACCTAGCGGTGTCCTTTCAGAACAGCGTACCTGCTTCCAGTTAGTAACTTGAATTTTGGCATTACTCTATTTTTCTAACTTACAATGATTTCTACCATCAGTTCAGCCCCGAGAGAGAGTGGTATTTTGCAAAGACTGGCATCAGTGGTATGATGCATGAATAGGTCTAGGTGCCTAGTTTTAAAATCTTGGCAGCTGCCTTGACTTTTCTTTATGCTGTCATTGAAACCATAGCTACCAAGGTTGAATTTTGCTGGTAGTAGCAGTTGTGGGAAGTTACTAAGGGAAGAGTCTATTACTGACACAAGAAATAGTTTCGAAGTTCTTGCCATTGCTGAACTTACCAAAATGTCACTGTTGCCATACATCATTTATGGAAGGCTTAAAATCATCTTTCTGCTGTACTGAATGTCACAAAGTTACTTGATGTCTTCAATGTTAGTGTTATATATATATATATTCCACACTTCTTGCAAAACTCCCTTTAAAATGAGAAGTCTTGTTGCTTCTGGGATTAGACCTAATCGCTATGATTCAAGAGTAAAGAAGGAAAAACAACTGTGCGGGTTCTGCATGTTCCAGTTATCTTCCTCTTTATTACTTCAAAATCATCCACTTTTCTCCAAAAGGTACAGCTACACCTTCAGAAAATTGTGTGTAATAGTCACCTTTAGCAGCATTTTTCCCTTGATTCATTAATTATAGGAACATGTCAAGCAGAGTAGATGGCATTTTCCGAGTTGGGAATTTACCTTTATTTGTTATTCTTTGTTGTGTTTGACATCTGAATTTCTCAGCTTCTCTAAGATTATGTCATTTTGCAATTAAATATATAATATGATTGTATAAATTGGCCTGAAAATTGAAATCCTGGCCTTTTTCTTTGTAACTGGTGTGAAAAATGAATGGGTGCATGGGCACATCTCAATTTGAGATCAGTCACTTTGGAACTCCTCACTCCTCAATGTACAGAGCAGGTATTTTTAAAAATCTCTTTCTTCAGTCCATGAACTCATGTCTTATTTGCTGCACACTACTCAAGTGCCATTTTTGAGAAAGATCATACATTTTGTCTTGAGCTTTTTGATGGGGCCTAGCCAAAGGGTTCACAAATCTGATGTGATTTATTTTCAGCACGCCCTATTGAGTTGAGGGCCTTCTGATCCTTTGGCAAAGGAGGAACTAAAACGTAATAACCCACGTGAGGAGCTGGGTGGGCGCATGGCTGCTAGTTTTGTGTTCATGAGTCGAGAGTCCTAGGAATGGTATCTGGGAGCACCTCAACCCCGTTTGACTGCAGTTGAAGCTCTGCAGTGGTCGAAGGCTGGCGTGTGCACTGTGGAGCGGTGGCGCTGAAATAGGGTTGTGCAGGCAGTGCTGAACCCTCGCCTTTCAGGGGGTTGTGTTAGTGACTTGTGTTGGGTTTGTGGTTTTTTGGGTTTTTTTTTTTTTAGGTAACTTGCAGTCTGTTAGTTTGCTTCTAAAGAGGGAGGAAACTTGCAAAAGCTCTCGGCACGCGTTGCCATATGAACGTGCGTGTGGTCCGTGGGGAGGGTGGCTGGCTCCTGTTGACTGGTGGTGCCTGTGCCACCTACTCTCCTCGGCTCCTCGTCCGGCTTGGGCACCATATTCTTTGTTGTAACCTTCTGCTTGACCAGACCCAGGATTTCCAGACTCTGGCTCTTGCGTCTCACCTTCTCATTGCTGTCTTTCCCTCTTCTGCCCAGCTTCGTGTCACGTTTTCGTCCACCCGACCTTTCTCACACCCCCTCCGCAGTGCGCTCTCAAGAGCCTGTCTCCTGCATGTCCGTGGGGCGCCCGCCGAAGGGTCATGAAAGCAACAGGCGAGGTTGTCTTCCTGCTGTCAGCTCCAATGTCTGGTCTCTGGCAGATGGGAGCAGCAGTTACAGGGGAAATCCTGCTAATCTCCTGTAACTTGAGCCCATTACATGCTCAGTCGCACTGTGGGGCTGGTGCCTTTCCAGCCACATACGGACGGATGGCTGGAGGAGAGGTGGTGGATGCTTACTGCAGAACATTCTCTGAGGCTTGCACTGTAGAGATCAGGGGGAAAAAAAAAAAAGATGGTGTCTATCAGCTGAATTCTAGCAGGTTTTAAAGCTTTGTCAAATAGGAAGATACTTCCCTAAGTATAGCAAAAAACCATAGCCTTAATTTAACAAAAAAACAACCAAAAAAGCAAGGGATCCGCACTCTGCCAAATTTCAAGACTGCCCCGACAAGGGCAGGGGAACCAGGGTTCCCCGGTGAGTGAGTTACAGGGGTGACAGAGCAACATGTCTTTGTCTAGGCTCTCAGAAATGGGCAAACTGTGTTTTGGCAGAAAAGTAAATAAATCCTGCAGCAGATGTCCAGCATGGAAAATTTTTAACATGGGCAGCTCGAGTTTGGCAAAGTCAAAAGAATGTGGAAAATACTGATGAGATGCACAAGACCATCTTAATAGTGGATGGAGTTACCAGCCCTGTCCCTGGGGTCTCCCGAGACCCACCAGAATCAACTGTTTGGGTTTTGGGGGGTTTATTTTGGTTTTTTTTAAATAGGTCAGAATAGAGCAGAGTGGAGGGGGTGATTGAGCAGAGAGGCTGGCTGGCAGGAGCCTCATCGACAGGAGCCCATTTCAGCCATGCCAGGGAGGGGAGGGTTTTCACAAATTGGGTGGGAGATGGTGGAGCCCGAAGGAGAGTGTTTGCATGTGGGATAGAGGAATAATGGATTTTTCGGAAGCAGCATTTATAATATGCAAAACAGTCCATAGGAAACAATGGGCCCTTGGGACAGAGCTGCCAGTGAATGAGAGCTTTGTTTTCCTCTTGTCTATTCATATTTCTAAACTTTTAGTGGAATTTTAAACAGATTTTACACATTTTTATGTGATGGCTTGAATTGCATAAACTGCTGTCTAAAGTAGTATTGCACTGCAATCTTTATCCCTTTCTGGATAAAGATTGACTTTCAGCTTAAGCTCCTTTTTGTATTTTTCTTAATTGCAACTCTTGTTCAATAATCCTTGGCTGCTTTGTTCTCACGTTTTAAAACTTCAGCAAAATTTGTGGGAAAATTGATTGACAGCAGACCTTGCGTACCAACTGTATCAAGCTGCCTACAGTTTGACTTGAAAATGGCAACTGGTATTATAGTCCTTATGTCAGAACCTTGATACAAACGGACATTGGTTGTAAGCTAATCACACGAACCGCAGTTTGATGCTGCTGATGTGATTTGTCTGCCAAGGATATTAAAACACCATCATATAGATTGTTTTCATTGAGAAGCATCCCATACCTGCAGTCCCAAAAACTGGTCTCAAGTATTCTTAAAGACGTTATGCGTATATTGCTGTTAAGCGCAAATGCTGCACAGTAAGATCATGCAGTATTAAAAGGAGAATATTACTGCCTGAATCAGAGTGCGTTTTGGCTGCTTGTTAAAATAAAGGGATAGACTGCTTGGTTTATAGTGCACGGCTCACCTTTACAACCAAAACAGCACCACTGCAGCTCTTGCAGTTTCAGAAATGCTGTTTGTGCAAGCATTTATGATTAGCAAAAGCTTTGAAAATCCTTGTGCAAGAAATGGTGTAGCTGCCGTTGCAGTGGAGGGGAAGGGAGTTGTTTGCTTTTGCTGTGTATGTTATTTCATGGAGGTATTGCTTTACCTCACCAGTAAAACTCCTTCCCTGCGCGAGGGAAATTCCTGGTTCATCAGTATGGATGCATTGTTTTTACACATTAGAAGTGCTGTGTTGCCATGTCAATCATCCCATTAGGATCAGTTTAAGAGCAGTAGGGCTGACGAAGCTGGGTGTGATTGGCTGCCATATGCTGGGAGGGCTCTGGGAGAAGGAAGGGCTGCAGTCTTTCAGCAACAGAGTTTAGGCTCTGTCTTTGCTTCATCATCTGAGGAAAAATCCCCAGATAAGGCACAAGGCTTTCTGAGCGCGCAAAAAAAAAAAAAAGAAAAATTACGGGCTGCTCATCGTTTCATGTGACAATTACTTACCATGATGCGATGGGAAAGATATGGCTGTTTGTTTATATCGGATGTTCCTGTTCACATTGGGAATGTGCCGAATAGACAGGGCTAAACAAGGTAGGAGGATCATTGTCTTTTATTGAATGTTTAAAGAGTTTGCTGCAGTATGCTGCATACTGTATGTGTTGCTCAGGGGAGTCAGGGAAACAGCGTTTCTCCGGTGAATATATACTGCTTGGGTGCAATACGTGGATTTTATGGTAACTTGTTTTCTAAGGGAATTAATTTCCAACGTAAATAGCTCTCTTCAGAAATAGAATGTGACTATACGCATATTAAAATAACGCAAGTAAAAAAAGAAATAGGTCAGTGTGTTTCAGAAGTGCTGTTACCCTAATTGGATTTTTAGCTGGGTGTCATCTGGTAGTGCTTCCTAGCTTTAAGAAAAAGAAGGAACCAACCTGGAAATCTGTGAAGTTTATAGCAGATATGTTTGAAGATTTAGGTGAATTAGACTGGCTGTTCTAAATAATTCCATATTGGAGGCTTTAACTAAAGCCAAGACTGTCTGTCTTAGACTTGTAGGAGCTGTACAACAAGATTCCAGTATTTTACCCTGTTACAAAAGTATGGGTGTTTTTGACTGCACCGTGATTCCTTGTGCTCTTGAAGGCAAGCTGGGAGAGTTTTCAGTATTGTAGTTTAGTTGAGTGTTTCCTCTGCCCTTTCCAGGTCTTTGTCTCGGCAGCAAAACAGAACCTGCACACGAAAACAAGGAAAACAATGTTAATAATACGTGCTGCAATTATCTGATCTTTATACATTTTTAATGAGAGAACACACAGCTAGCAGAATAATTTAATGAGCAGCCTGGCTTTTAGAGCAATGATTTCACTGCACTGAGGCACATCAACTTTCTTGCTGAGGAGGAGCCTCAGGAAGGAACGGAGAAGATTTATGTTAAATGCTCTGGAGAGAAGGAGGAGGGTTATTTAGGCAGAAGTCTGTACAATTTTGGAAGAATAGAGGAGTTATTAATTATTATTATCTATTAGACCTTGGAAGCAAACTTTACTGTCATATTGTGGAAGGGTCTGAGGGCATTGTCTCATCCTGCGATGTGCTGAAGCCTCTTCAACTTTCTTAGACTGCCATATGCATTGATGGTGCTCAGTACCTTTCAGGATCCTACCCAATTAGTGACCCAAATTAGCATGCTGTCTTCAGCTGTGTTATAGCAGCATTATGTATATGTACAGTATATAATACAGCTTGTGTTTAGAAAAAAAAAAAAAATTTCTTAAAAGACAGTTGGTGAAACAGCAAGAAAATGTTATCTTATTTCTCCTGTAATAGCCATGAAAATTGTATGTAGATATCTGTATGCAAATAGGATGCGAGTAGAAAAATTAAGTGTATGAGCTGAGGAGGACTAAAGATCAATGTTTTAAAGAAGAAATTAGGTAAGAGAACCTTTTACTTCCTAGAAAAGCTTTTGATGGTGTAATTTTGGGGAAAGTTTCAAGATTATTTCCCTCCCCCAGGAACAAGTTACGCTACTTTTAAAACTATTGCATTAAATAGGCCCTTCTAGACCAACCGTTCCCCGTTTTCCAAGGAGAAGTACAGGGCACGGGCTCAAAACTTCTGATGTCACCTCCCGGCTCCTTACAGCTGACCCTGCTCAGAGGAGGCTGATTCAAATTTCTTGTTCTCTGGCTAAATACTTGCTGAAGACCTGCAGCTAGGTTGTTGACACATCTTCAATTTATAAACCGGTCATTTTTAAATGCTGCGCTCTTCGAAGTAAAATCAACCTTGTGTCTTCTGAGATTCTCAAACTCTGCTAACAAGTGAAACACGTGTCAGGGTGTAGAGCATTATTATTAAAAATCCATGGGGTATGGATATGTGTGTTTGAATATCTATCGCTGTCGATGTTTAAATGTGGTGTTAAAAAGCAAAATAATCTCTTCCAAGCTATAAAATGTGAGCTAAATTTTTAATTTTTGCAAATAAAATAGTTTTCGTGCACAGCTTACAGAGAAAACTTTTCAGTCTCATGTTTTGAGACTGTCTCTTCCTTTCAGATAATTTGTGGCTGGTTTTTGTATTTTTAAGATTGGCAGTTAGGCATAAGGAGGGTAATGCTATACATTACAAAGTGAAAATTTACATTCATCACTCAATCAAACAGTTTGTATCAAACTATTGACAGACAATCAAGTGACAAAGGGATTAAAAAAATTCTTTCCTGCTCAAGGAATACTTTATAGAAATAGGTAGGTGTGCTTTTGTCTTGGAGCAGTAAATATTCTGTATTTACAGTTGTTATGTAAATAGTTGGTAATAAAAGTATTTTGGACCAGGTTCTGGTACCTCTTTTCATTTAGTAGTATCTTTTCCTCTTAATTGCTCTGTGGATTTCATCAGAGCTATTTGTGCGGTAACATCTTACTGTGTGCAGACTGTTTTCAAGGAATAATTACTCTGTTTAGAATTAGTTTCTTCATTTTCCTAAGATAGGGTTTACTAATGAGTTACTTGTGCTGAAGTATAGTGTTGTGACTACAGAGTGTTTATAAAGCCAAATTAAGTTCTTAATTTGTAAACATGTATTTTATAGAAATCTAAAATAATTGCATGCTACAATTTTTTTTTAATTTTTTTGAGAAAGAAAAGTAGCTCAGTGTTATGTGGGATTTCAGGCACTCAGGTCTGGTAACTCATTTCTGCTGTTGTTCTCTGCTCACAAGTATGTCAGGAATAATCTATACTGTGTTTATTTGTAAAAAGCTCTGTAAAATGTTCAGTTTTTATATGATTGAAGGATGAGAAAAAGACTTAGTGTTCAAATAGAATTCCTCATTAATGATTTCACATATGGTTTTAATTTCCTAAATCATTAGACATGTTGCTAAGATTTAAATTTCACATAATAGCTATTAGTGATACCTTGTTTTCTAATGTTACTAGGAATTTCTGACTTTGAGGATTTTTTTTTTTCTCTTTCAGGGAAGAAACACTTTTTTTTCCCAAAAGCCCAATGGTTTTTTTACCCTTTTTTTGTGAATAAAACCACATGGCTGTTACAAAATTGTAGCAAAAGAGAATAAAATCACTTGCCTTAGAATTTGTTAGTATATATTTTCTTTTAAAAACCATTTTCCAGCCTTTGATTGTGAAGCTAATTTGATATGTTACGTTTAATACAATGTGTTATGGTTAACTAGTGTGAACCAGTGCTATGTAACTGGTCTGTAGACAGGCTGAAATTATAGCCTGAGGAAAATAAAACTCGTTTCAGGAGTGTGTCAGTGCTGAAAACTAGTTCAAATAATAGTACTATTAACTTCTTGACTACTTAAATTAATCTTCTTATACATTATTAGCAAATGCAGTGACAGTTGTTGTTTATTGATATAAAGAGTCCAAAGTCTCCTTTTAAGAACAAACTTCTCGGCTGTATTTGGAGTAGAGGGTACGTGAGGAGAAAGAAATCATGCAGCCCTTTTCTAGAATCTGTCAACTTCTTAATTACCCCAATTTTTTTTTATTATTCTTTTTTAATAAGGCCATTAAAACATCGAGCTCTCACTCTGACAACACTGGCAATGTAAAGTTCTTTGCTCAGTATTTTGGGCACACTAAAAAAGGAAAACTCTGGGGCTGTGAAAATTGAAGAGCATATGCAACAGGAGATTAAATGCAAAATCCTTATAACTAACATAAAGAAATACTAATTATGTAGGGACTTTTTGTGCTAGTGATGATTATTAAAGCTGTTGAGAACTGCCAGTGTGCAGCTCGCTGCTTCTGCAGAAAACCTGTAGGATCTGGTGGGCTTGTGACACCTTAAACTTAGCAAGTTAGAAGAGCTCAGTTGTAGTTCTGGTAAACAAAAGGGATGAACACACATGTTCACAATCTCCCCCCCCGCCCTTTTATACCTAGATGTATGTCCACAAATGCACACACAATATGTAATATACACACACTCATAAAAATATGGGTTTTCCTTTTTGTGATTTTTTGCAATACAAAACCAATAGCTAATAGAGACAGTAGGAGGGATTTAGTGGTACAGTTGTTGCATAAAGAAATGGATCAAGAAACAGGAACATATGGTTCTTATCAGTCTATTTTTTTTCTGTTTTAGATCAATAATTTTTATCAGTTTCTGAGTGGATGATAAACAGCGTTTCAGGAAGGTATGGGTGTCGCACATTGCTGAACTCATAAATAGAGACAAGGTCAGTCTGGAGGTTCATGTACTGTAATATCTTCTCTCCTGCAGAGAGTACAGCGCCTCTGACAATAGGCAGAATTAGAGAATACAGGTAAGGAAAAAATACAGAAATGTTTTTCCCTCTGTAGTTTTATGGAAGGCAGCTAGGACTCGGTTAGAAATGCCTTTTTATTTCTTTTTGTGAATTCTGAAGGCAACTTTTCAGTATGTTTTTTGTGTGTGATCACTTTTAAGAGATATGCCTAGCAAATAATTAAAAAAAAAAAAATGTTTTTTAACCCTCTAGTGTTCTCTCCTATCCAGGCTGAATACTTTTTTCCTGGATTTCTGAGGATTTTT